GACTTGGGCAGGGAATATACAATTGAATCGAATTGTATAAAACGAGAAAGAGATAAATTATATACAATTTGAATTTGTATAAAACGAGAAAGAGAGAAAGGCAAAAGAAACTGGGCAGGGGAGTATTTTTATTGTATAATTATAAGTATATAGGATGAAAATATATGTATTTGCATGTGTATATTCAATTTTCTCTCGCTTTATACAAACAGAAACACAATTTATACATTTCTTTTCTGTTTGTACAAGTGAGAGAGGCGAGGCTGGAGAGCGATATTAGGGAGAGTTGCGAGCGAGATCTGGGAGATGGGGAGAGAGGGGAACAAAAATATATGTATTTATATAATTTCCTCTCGCTTCATACAAATTTTATCCACTTGTGTTTAAATAAAAGTGAGAGAAAGCGAGCGAGAGAGGAGAGTGGCGAGCGAGAGTTTGAGGGAGAGAGGTGACTGACAAACAATTTGCTAGGGAGCACAATTAAATCAAAGGGTGGTTAAAGCAATTAATTAGATTTATTAGTATGTCATTATATACAATTTTTCCTTTATTATAATAGTAGTAAGTTTTATTGATTATTTTCTTCTAGGGGGTAAATTGTATAGTATGATAAATTTTTGTTATTAGAAATAATGACTCTTTTATTATTAGAAAGTCAAGATATTAGATTATTGGGAAAATGCATAAGTACCCCCTCAACCTATGCCCGAAATCTCAGAGACACACTTATACTATACTAAGGTCCTATTATTCCCCTGAACTTATTTTATAAGTAATTTTCTACCCCTTTTTAGCCTACGTGGCACTAGTTTGAAAAAAAAAGTCAACCATCGTTGGGCCCACCAGATAGTGCCACGTAGGCTAAAAAGGGGTAAAAGATTATGAATAAAATAAGTTCAGGGGGGCAATAGGACCTTAGTATAGTATAAGTGTGTCTCTGAGATTTCGGGCATAGGTTGAGGGGGTACTTGGACATTATCCCTAGATTATTTATATTTGTACAATCATGTTAGAAGTTTTATTTATGAGTTTTCTTAGTCATTGTTTGTAATTATTTTCAAACAATTGATGTATTTTTATATTTTTTGTTATTGTATTATCATACTAGCTTGTAAATTAAAAATTTAGAGATTCACAGGGCTCACGCCCCATGTTTTGAGGCTTACACATCGTCCTGTACTAAGTAAAACGCTCCGCTTCACGTCCCATCTTTTAAAGCGCTGATTTGACATGACACAAATTTTTTTTTGAAAAATCTATGAATCTTGTAATCTTAAAATCTAAAAATCTTTATTGGATAAATGTTTCTGTTGGTCTATAACATTAATGTGAACTATAAATTTTAGAAAGTTTTAAACGATTTATCTTTAAATATTAAATTAAAACATATTATTTTTAAAATATTAACTTATAAAAAAGAATTTTCTAGTAAATTAAAATGTACGGAAATACTAAAATATTCAGTAAAAAATTAAACAATTTTAATGTTGGTACCCAAATGGGTAAGACCTAAAACACACGTTTTACCCTTTAGACTGCCATGTCAAAATTATATAATTTTCACAAAAAAAAGAAAAAAGAAAAAAAAATAACAACTCTTTATTGGGCATCGTATAACATCTTGCAAGTGTTATTAGTTTGAGTCAAAACTCTCCTCCGTCTTAATTAATAGAAATTTTTGTTTCTTGGGGAAATCGAAGACATTGTTGGATGTTTTAAATTAATTTGAGACATTAGTTTAAGACATAAGCACTTATGTCATTAAGTTGATGACTAATGTGCATATGTCATAAAGTTAACCACCAAAGTGAAGTAAGATTTAGCTAATTTTCAAACATTCTCTTCACTTGCTCCGTCTGTTATTGTTTGTCATAATTTTTAATTTTTAAAGTCTAAAAACTTCGACTACCATTTTAAGATGCATTTTTTCATCATATTAATATGCAAAAAATAATAATTTATAATACTTTTCATATAGTTTTAGAATCTCTATTTTTTTTGTTTAAAATATCGAATCAATGTATTTAATTTACCTTTAAAAATTAATCAAATTGACTTTCGATAAGCGTAACATAACAAACATTTTTGGACGAAAGGAGTAGTATTTATATTTTATTGATTTCTGTATTCTCTAATTACTAGAAGAATGCTTGTTTAATCTTGGAGAAACATCTCTCTCTGTTGAAATAGTTTCTTAAAACAGTGCCTAACACGACTGAATTATTTGATATATATATATATATATATATATATCCTAATTCTTGTAGTAGTATATCCTAATTCTTGTATTATTATTTTGATGTTATAATTTTACCATCTGTCATATATTTTGCAACAGCATTTGCTTAATTAATATATTTCCAAGTATGTTTCAAAATTTATGAAGTCGCATGTGACTATAACTTTTGCAAAGAATATCTGAAATATGTATATACTATAAATATTTTTCAAATTTGAAATACATCTTGAAAATGAAAAGTGAATTGAAAAACATGTTAAATATTTTTTTTTCAAATTTTAAATACAATTTTAAGATGACACTCATTTTTTAATCATAGAAATATTTTTTATGGCGAAATAGACATTTTGGCTTCATAGATTGAAACAATGAATTGTCGTTTTTTTAAAATTATATACAGTAATAAGTTAATAACTGTGAGTTGTGAATGAATAACCAAAAAAATAGTACACCTAAAGAGTACTTAAAAACAATGCAACTTTATGAGACATTAGGTGTTGTTAACTTCTTTCAAGGAACAAAAAATTGAATAAGAAGTACATTATGCATTAAAATATATCAAAACCACAGTAACCAATCACATGTCCCAAGTAAATACGTAAAGAAGTCATTAACAAGCATTTGCAAGTAAATACGTAAAGAAGTCATTAACAAACATTGCATGCTCTATAAATAAATATCTATCTATCTACTCAATTTCATTTTCATTACCTTCATCTCATTTTATTCTCTAATACCAAAATTGACAATCACTATGGGTAGCTCAAAACAACTACTTCATATTGGTGTACTCTCAAGTCCAGGCTTAGGCCACATTATCCCTGTACTAAACCTCGGCAACCGCCTCGCCACCGTCCATAACGTCTCTGTTACCGTTTTTGTTATCACCTCCGGCAGCTCTCTGGCCGAAACTGAAATTCTCAAATCCGCCCATAAATCAAAGATGATTGATGTAGTTGAAATACCAGCGGTAGATATCTCCAAACTTATTGATTCCAACACAAAAACGGTCACTCAACTTTGCATGCTTGTGCGTGAAACGTTGTGTGTTGTTAAGTCTGTGATATTTGCAATGAAGCATCTCCTGGACGCTCTCATTGTTGATATTTTCACTACTGAAGCGTTGTCAATTGCCAAAGAATTTGATTTACCTAATTATGTTTATATTCCGACAAATGCATGGTTTACTGCTTTGACTGTCTACTGTCCGGTACTTGACAAAGAAATTGAGGGTCAATATGTAGATCACAAGGAACCGTTGAAAATCCCAGGGTGCAAACCGGTTCGACCAGAAGACGTCAGCGATCCAATGCTGGACCGCAACAATCAGGATTATTGCGAGTACTTGAAGGTACTTGGGATCGGGTTCTGTTTGTCGGATGGGATCTTGATGAACACTTGGGAAGACGCGGAGGCCGGTTCACTCAAAGCGTTAAGAGAAAATGAAATATTAAAAGCTATAGTGAAGTCACCGGTTTATCCGGTTGGACCATTGATTAGACAAGAACAACAAATCATTGATGGAGATGATGATGGTAACAATTCTGTCCTAAATTGGTTGGATAAACAAATGCCTAATTCAGTGCTATACATATCTTTCGGGAGTGGTGGGACCCTCTCGTCAAAACAATTAACTGAGTTAGCTTTTGGGTTGGAGTTAAGTCATCAGAAGTTCATTTGGGTGGTGAGGCCACCGTCAGAAGATGGTGCAGACAAGTCATATTTCACAACTGGAGATCAGGGCAAGAACACTCCTGAGTACTTGCCAGAAGGTTTTCAAACACGGACCAAAGATTTTGGATTGGTGATTCAGATGTGGACGGATCAAACAAGAATCTTGAGCCACCCATCAGTCGGGGGATTTTTGACGCACTGTGGATGGAATTCTAGCATTGAGAGTATAACAAATGGTTTGCCAATGATTGCGTGGCCGTTATATGCTGAACAGAGACAAAATGCTACTATGCTCACGGAGGAACTTAGAGTGGCTGTTGGGCCAAAGGTATTGCCAACAAAGGAAGTGGTGGAAAGGGAAGAAATAGAGCAATTGGTGAGAATGGTAATGCAATATAAAGAAGGAAATGAATTGAAGGAAAATGTGAAGAAACTGAAGATGAGTGCAGAGAAAGCACTAAGTATAGGAGGCTCCTCTCATGATTCAATGTGTCAAGTCCTCAGAGACATTGAGAAGAGATCTATCCATGGTTGCAAGAACATTAAGGTGTGAGGAAACTATCTAAAAAGGGTAAGATAATGAGTGATTAGGGCTATATATACCCTAAAGTTGTCTATGTTATGTTGTTATTATGTGCTACTATAATTTACAGTATGCATGTTTCGAATAGAATTTACCACTATAATAAAGCAATATCATTCAGTGAAGTTATTCTCCTTTGCAAGCAATCTTGAGATCAGTTAAAAAGTGTATGCGTGGTTGAAGGAAAATACTGAATTAAGAATATGCACCAGCACAAGCTAAGCCACGTCAGTACAAGTTTTCTCCCCTTGTAAAACCCTAAATCCTACCGCTGGATATCAACTCAAAAAAGGTGACATTTTGTCCAAACCTCCATCAATTAACATTACTTAAGAAAACAGTTAAAACTGAATAACTGAGGTTGGTAGAACCAAGGTCGGTTCTTGCAATATTTTTTGCAAGCAAATCTTCCCAGCTATTTCAAGATGATTCATTAATAGGAATACGACTTTAGTCACATAGATAAGTATTTATTAAAATTTATGAAGTTGCGTTTGACAATAATTTCTGTTAAAAGCTAAGGACTTTAAATTAGATTCCAGCTGTATGTTTACCTTTAGAAACATTATGTACCGTTGTTTGGAGATTTTATTTCAGAGTGTTGTAATTGTTACCAATTAATGAAAGAGTTCAAAGATAATGGGAGCTGTATAGTGAGGGGAAGGAGATGAATAAATAAAACAAGCGAGCCCGCAAAAATGAGTTACGGTATTAACTCTGTCGAAACGCACCATAGACTTGTCGCATCTTCCTGATGTGCACCAACAGATCTCTCGAAATGTGCTGACCCCGTTTTGAATCGACAGATGCTATATCTTTCATCTCCACAAGGCAACAATAATATGGTAAAAATGCCTGCACACGTTAACGCAAATACATGATTTAACTACATATGATGAAGGGCTTAAGCTGGAAAAGGATCAGTAGCCTTTGATTAACCTCAACTCCAATCCCCTAACAAATGAGGCATGTCAAGCTGCAATGGGTTCGGTAGCCTTCTTCAGCCATTCCATCTCAGATGTATTCAGGTAAGGAGTAAGAATTTCCCTACATTTTGCATGGTATTCATTTAACCATTCAATCTCTTCAGGAATCAGAAGGTTCACGTCAATTAGTTTCCTCTGGTATGGTGCCTACATTAACAAACAAGATTCTTACCTTCATGACACATTACACTTCCAACCTATAGAATTAGGAAGTAAGTGATAATCCAAGTTTTAAAAAAAATACAAACAGAAAAGGACAGAGAATGTCTTGCTTCCTCTTGGACTGCAAAAGTGCAATCGCACCACACACTTGTACATCTAGAACATCAAGGTAGATGCATATCACATATGTAAATAGACATAAAACATGGTGTTTACAAACTTACCCAAGTTATATGCTCAAATGATAAGTAGCCCTTATTGCCAAAGTTGAACTTCGTATTGCCCTCCTTGACAATAAGAACATTCTCTATTCTTATACCAAAGTTCCCGTCTTCATAATAACCAGGTTCTGAAAAATATATACCATATGAATGTTCAAACTCTGAAAAGCTGAAACAAGAAAACTATAAAGATGTGCAGAAGCAACTAGAAAGGTAAAACTATTAGATTATTGAGCAAGCTGGACAACATGATGGTATGACGTGGTTTATCCTAACTTTATTGACAGGCCATTCTTTTACTAGTATAACTAGAAAAACGTTACATTTCCCCTGATCATATCAGTTCTGTAAGTTGTAGATCTCCAGTAAGCAAATTCAGGACCGACTATGTTAGGATAGGATATTTACTAATGCACATCCTTCGTAAAGAAGCATAACAAACCCACTAATCCATGTTAGGAGTGAAAATACATTCAAAAATGCAGAGGCATCAATCATGCTAAGGAAAAGTTTACTTTATAACTCGTAATGTAATAAGATGCTACCGACCATCTGTTACAGCCATTGAAACTTGTAGCGTCACATCCCGTGCAGATGGCCTGAAACTAATATTATGAGGTCCTGCCAAAAATAAATTAAATGTTAATATAAATTGCTCCTTACAAGTACCTCTATACTCATGATGGCAAGTTTACCTTCATGAACATTTAAGTAAGACCCGATCCCGTGTCCAGTACCATGCATATAGTCAAGACCATCTTTCCACAAAGGAATTCGAGCAAAAATTCAAGAGCTTGCCCTATCAAGAGTAGTCAAGCACAATGTTCTGATAAGCCAACTATCTTGGGCCACAGCATTTGAATGAAATGAAATGAAAATGGTAAGCATACGCCTCTGAATAATAGCCTATGGATATAGGCATTGGTACATCTAACCACGAAAGAAAATTTAGAAAATTACAGACATCGAGTATCAAATTCCACATAATCATACCATTGGTTCCGTTAGGAGACCTGGCAATTCCCAAAGATATACGTCCTTTAAGAACCTACATAAAATAAAGTAACCTTTTAGCCATTAATGCAGTATTGTGATAAGGAAAGAACAAAACTTTCCAGTATAAGATTTTAAAGAATCAATCACACAGAGTAAAACCAGCATAGAAGACAAACCTACATACATATATATATAAAAAAAATTGTTCGAAGTATAGCAATCATTATCCTTTCTCAGTCACCCCTAAAAAAAAAACAGAAAAGAAAACCTTAAGAATAACGAAGGCATTTTACAGAAAAGTTTTGACTTACTGTTGCTTTGTTTACTCATAAGACAATTTTTTTCTCTTCAATTTTTATGGATTTCAATCAACATTCATTGCAAAGAGAGAGAATTTCCCACAGGAAAGCATGTGTAATGCATGTATGTTAAGACTTGAATAAGAAGGATTACATAATACAAGCACTGGAATAAAAGAGCTAGAGATCTCTAGGAGAATAATGCCTCCAATAGCTTCTCTAATCAAGGCTTAAAATGGACTAATGCTTCTAGAATGATCTAAAGGAAGCATGACCAAGTGTGGAAGGAGACTGGACATAGATAAGATCATCAATAGTAATCTGAAATCAGAACTCTCATTATGAAATTTCACTCCATCGTGCATAGTCAGCAACACCATCATATATATAGAAAGATCACATGTTAAATATAGAAGTATGCAAAGTCCCGAATATATGCTCTCAGTTCTCACATACCTGTGCTCCAGAATCGAATAGGTAAATACAATCTGGATCGAGTTCAGCACATGTTTCTGCCTCAGGTTTATAGTGGATAATGGCTGCATTTGAGCCAACAGAAGAGGTAGTTGGGAAACTTAATCCTCTAAAATGCTGCAGATGTAGAGGAGCAACATTACCCCATTACGTTAAGATAATGCTATTGTTAAGAAAACAAGATTCTTAACAATTTTGCGAACTTCAAGAAAGATTACAACCATCAGAAAACAAACCAAGCTGCACTTGTTGGAATAGCTCAAGGCAAAAACTTCTAGTTAATTGAAGCAACTAAACATATTATCCCGAGGTATATTAGGTACTCCTGAATCCCGATACATGTTATTAACATTTGATAATACATACTCGTACTTTTTACCTTTTTTTTTTTTTGCCACCCCTTATACTTGTCTATTTTTAAATTTCACTACACTCACTTGCTATGTGGATACAATAGAAAAATGATATTATTGTTCTTGTAAATTTTAAAGAAAAAAGATAGAGAAAATATGCCAGCGTGTAACTGGACAGAGCTCGAGTCGAAATCAGCATATCATGTGGTTCTGGAAACAATAACATAGCAGTTAAACAGAAGCAACAAACTGGAAATAAACTCTAGAGTCATCATCAGCTCACAACCTAGATGACGATAACTCATACATAAATAGAGTGATAAAGAGTATAAGACAGCAGATTTCATGCTAGATTTTTCATCAGAATACAACCATTTACCTCCTTTGATGCACGGGACTCCTCCAGCTTATCACTCACAGAGACTTCTGTCAGTCTTTTAGTCCCCCTAACATAATGAATTATTACAAAAATAAGGTACAAAACATGGACCCACTACTAAGGAAAACAGTATAATATATCCCATGCTTCATGATAAGTTCCTCAATAAATCACTTAATTATTGACTGAAGATCAGTAACTTGCAGAAGCTTCCTTCAGAAAATCAAGGGCCACTAAAAGTCTTGCTCCATCTTAAGAAAACAAAGTCTTAAATTTTCAAATCCACACAGCCCACAAGAATAACCTTCTACACAGACAATAAATCAAGAAATCACTTCTAGAATAATGCATCTTTCTATCAACACAAGATGCCAGCTCTAATAGACTAATTCCTTTTTTCTTGGATCCTGAATTGCAGGGGGGGGGGGGGGGGGGGCATAAGTTCTGAAGTAGCATCCTATAACAGATCAATTCTTAGAGTGTACCTAATCGCCAAAAACATGAAATAGTACAAAAAACCAGAAAAACATACAGTTGTTTCTTCTGTTTGGTACTTTCAGCCTCCATGAAATAACCAGATGCCCCATATATTTCCTGCATCTGGAAAATTGGAACAAGGTTGAAACTCATCTAGCCAAACTACTGAATCCATGAATAGCTTGAATCAAGTGTTTCTGCACCTAAAAAGCGAAGAGATCCCTGCTAAAAATATAAAGTCCACACTATTTGCAAAAAGGCATTGCAAATAGATATAACATCTTTCTCAGAGAGATACATTATCCTTCTTCTTTTTTAGTTTTGCATAGGACAGAATTTCTAACCCAACATATTTGGCTTTATCGGTATATACCAACTTACACTCGTCACACGTGTCACATTTGAATACGCCACTTCACAAATGACACGGCACCTCTCTTTTGAGCATATTGTTACATGTTTTATGAACTTAGGTCGGAAAAGGATATACTTTATGCAGTGAAACTACATCAAGCTCTCCTCATTTGGTGGAGCTACATATTACTCGCCAGGAATTCAGTTTCTGTCCGAACATGGCCAAATCAATCTTGAATACATTGATGCTGTGCATTGATCAAATCAAATCAAAGAGTAGAACTTATTTGAAAATATTCTAGTAACTGGGACAAACAAGTTGAAATGAATGGAGTGAAATCAAATCAAAGAGCAGAACTTAATTGAAAATATTCTAGTAATTGAGACAAACAAGTTGAAATGAATGGAGTGACATTGGTGGGTAAGTGATGGTGGCTTTGTGTATTAAATGTTTCATGCTAAACCACCAGTTAATGTTGTGAGTAAAATGTCGGTGATATGGCGACATATTCAACAAATGTTATTCATGAGGGAGAGAACAAAGCAACGGATCAACAGGACATTCAGTAAAGCTCTATTACAAACATCATGTAAAGCTCTATATTAACTTCATAAAGGTCATAATAAACAATGGGAGGTCCCAAGTTAGAACTCACATCTTTATGATAAACAAGAGAATGATCTAAAAGCCTTCTAATTAATGGAAATGAGTATAAACACTTCAAGCTAACAAAATCGTCTGAAAACATCCACCTACTAAGTCAAACTAGTCTTATTGGACTCTATTATCAGGGGCTTCAGCTTTAGCCAAACCAAGCTCCTTCTCTAGCTTGGTCCAAGCTTTTACCAAGTTAGGAGGGAACTTCTTCTTCACAGTCCTACTCATCCCTTTTGCATCTTTCAACTTTGATTTCTTCACCAACCCTTCCACCAAATACGTGAGTGTATCAAAATCCGGGATCTTTTGAACTTTCACACTCTCCTTGAACACCTTGTAACCAGTCTCATACCTTCCCTTCTTACACAAATAAAAGATTAAAGTCCTAAAAGTTGCAGCATTTGGATTACACCCATTTTTCTCCAGATCATCATAAACCATCTGTGCCTCATCCATCAATTCATTCTTACAATAACAAGTCATCAAGTAATTGTAGCTAATCGTATCAGGTTTCAATCCAGCATCGTTCATTTCCTCAATTAAAGCTTTCACGCCCTCCAGATCACCCCCCTGAATGTTCATAATCTTCACATTGTATGCACCAACATCTGGACCACACCCTCTGTTCACCATCTCGTTCCATACCTTCTCCGCCTCATCACTCTTCCCTTTCTTGTAGAATGAATGAAGTATAGTAGTGAAAGTAACCGTTGTAATCTCCACACTTTTCTCCTCCATCACCTTGAGTATTTCCATTGCCATTTCCGGCGACCCCGTTTCACAATATGACCTAATCAGTATACCGTACGACACTTTATCAGGTAAAAATCCATACTTCACTGGAATTTCATCAAACAGCTGGGGGACACGATCATATAGTTTTGAGCGCACGCAAGCTGATAAAAGCACATTGAAGGAAATAGCTGATCTGGGGGTGCCTAAATCATCCATCTGATGATAAATTTTGAGTGCGTGATCAAACATGCCGGCGACACCATAAGAACGGATTATGGATGAAAGAAAAGGCTCTTGGGTAATTTTGGGGCTATTCTTGTGAGACTCGAGGAAATTTTCGATGTCGGAGAAACGGTGTGACTTAGCGAGGCGCTTGACTGTGAATTCTTGTGCATAGCGGGAGGACAGAGGGGAAACGTAACGATCAGAAACGGAGGAGTAAATCTCTAAGGCTTTATCAGGGTCGTGCTCGGCTTTGAGCTTTGATTTTGCTTTAGAGATAGAGATGGTGATGGTGGAAGGTGACGAGGCGGCGGCAACGGCAGCGGCGGTGGTTGTGAGGTGGCGTGCCTGGCGCAAAGCAATGGAAGAAGACATTTCTTCTAGGGTTTAGAGATAGCTTGAAATGAAGTAGGGTTTAAGGAAATTCACTTTGACAGTGAAAGGACGTTTTCCAATGGTTTCCATTCGCGAAAATTACCAAAATCATTTCTTTCTTTATCTTTGTTTTAATCGGTTTTTTTTAAAATGTATTTAAGTTAAAGTATTTTTATTTTAAAATGTTTAGATAAGTTGAAAAAACATTTAATTTGAAATTAAAATAAATCAAATTGAGAAGTTCAAATTTTTAATTTATGATTTTTAGTTTATAAATCAAAAGACAAAAAATAATTTAAACTCTTATATTATATTATTATACGTTGTTTTCTTTAAATTTAATTTCTAATAATGTTTTACTTTTGATTTATTGCTGAGACTAGAGAGTACTTTATATGTTGAATATATTGATTATTGTGACATCTTTTTGATTTTATTCATGACAATAAAAAATTTAAAATAAATGTTGAACAGCTAACAAATGTTAGAAAATCAGTAAAAATGTATAAATATTTTTTTTTAAAAAAAAAAAGATTAATGTTTAATTGAAAGAAGAAAAATGATTACACTTTCAAAATTTTCTAAGAGTTTTTCACATCTTCTTAAACTCCTCCATCACTTCCTTAACCTTCAAGCACCCAATAGAAATTGAAATGTTTAGAGTAATTGACCACAATAATCATAATTTTATTTTGTCTTTTAAATAATTAATTTTCATAGTCATTTATTTTTGCCTAAATAATTTTCACAGTCTCTTCAGTCAAAAATTTAGTTTATGTTTACATTTAATGATGATGAAAACATTTACAATTCTTTTGAAAAGAAATATTAAGAAAACTATAATTATTTAGGACTCAACCTATCCTTAATCCGACCCAATTTTAAACTCAACCCTTATAATTCTGATTTTACTTCATTACTTTAATTTTCCTTGTGGGTTATAATGCTCTAATATAATCATGTCTCTTATTAAATAGTTCTTTTAACCTAAGCTCTTGTTTAATCAGACGGTAAAACAGACCCACAAAGCTGTTAAATCATCAGCTCCAACTAATAAACCCTAAACCCTTCCTCCACCATTATTACTTGGAGTTGAAGTTTCACTTTTCCATCCAGAAAATTGCAGAGATGGATTTGGACTTCGACAGTCCAAGTAAAGTCCCGAGCAGGCAAGCTCGTTTTGCTCCCAAGAACACCAAATTAAAGCCCCAACCCAAAAGTGAAACACTGCCATTGAAGGTAGATTCAGATATTCCCACTAAAAAGGAAAAATTTGTATCACAACCTGTTAGTATCCATAGTTGATCACTGTGAAGAAGGTAGAAGATTTTGTGGCTATTGTGATAAACAGAAGTGATTACTAAAATTGCAAATAGGCTATGATGCAAATGGTCTTCATCATACTATCAGTTTTTGGGATTCAGATATTATTGGGCCTTCTTTGGTGTTTGGGCTAGTACGCTAGTCCCCTTTCAAGAATCTGTACATAGAATTATTAGGTTACAATATTTCTTTGTTGTTTGTATTTATTTTCCTTGTCATTATCTCATAATTTGTTACAAGAAAACCAATTAGATATAGACAGCTGGCGAGTTAGTTACTGGTAGATTCTTTATTGTTTGTATAAATACAACACGTTTGTACAGAGGAATTCATCGAGAAATAGAATAAGGAATTTTCTACATTGCTTTTCTTAGTTTTTCATGGTGTCAGAGCAGTTGTAATTTTTCTATCCTCGTCTAATTTTTTTTAAACTCTTTTGTGTTTTCTGAAATGGATGTTTTGGACGAAACCAATACTCTTCCTGCTGTCACCTCTGAGAATTGCTGCAACTAATGCAGTGGATTCTTCACATGCCTTCTATATTCACCCTTCTGATTATCCAGGCATGAATCTTGTCTCTACTATCTCTGATGGTAAAAGCTATGGTGGCTGGAGAAGGTCTGTTGTTTTAACACTTTCAGCTAAGAACAAACTAGGATTCATTGATGGATCCCTAGCTTATCCTAATGCTAACATAATTCACTAGAGGGGTTCAAAAAATAAAAATGTAGTACTTGAGATTTGAACTTGGAACCTTATGGTGAATTTTGAACCCCCTCAGCCAACCTAATCTTATATTTAGAAGGTTCAAAATCTACAAAAATCTTTGGGGCAGTTTTATGTGATACATCTTATTTCCATTTCTTTTATTTATCACTTCTTGAGGCCAAGGACAGGAGTGGACTTGTTCCAGAATATGCTGTTGGATACATTTTCGTCAGAGGTGCCCATCTAGAACAGTTCACATGCTTGAAATAAAGCTGGTGGACTGCAATTTACATAAGCTGAAATATCTGGGCGTGAACGTAACTGTTAAGATGACATGTAACTAATTGAAGTGTTCTCACAAATACCGGTATGATCAGTATATCTATTCGCTGATTGTCAAGAGTATAAACAATGTGTTTGACTAAGCTTGTAACATGGTTTATAAAAGTGATTAGATATAATAATTTTGATCAAAGAGGTTCAAAAGATGAAAAAGATTAAATTAACCTTTAACTCGTTTTGTCATGCCCGGCATGGCAAAAAACAAAATCAATCTTAATCCGTTTACACTAGGGACGGAATTACTAAAATAGGAAGAATCGAACCAACCACCTTAGATAACTTGAACCCACTAACCTAAGCTTCCCAGCTATTTCAAGATGATTCATTAATAGGATACGTACGCATAAAGTTTTTAATTTGACCTTTAAATACGACTTTTAGTCGCATATAAGTATTTATTAAAATTTATGAAGTTGCGTTTGACAATAATTTCTGTTAAAAGCTAAGGACTTTAAATTAGATTCCAGCTGTATGTTTACCTTTAGAAAACATTATGTGCCGTTGTTTGGAGATTTTATTTCAGAGTGTTGTAGTTGTTACCAATTAATGAAAGAGTTCAAAGATAATGGGAGCTGTATAGTGAGGGGAAGGAGAAGAATAAAGCAAGCGAGCCCGCAAAAATGAGTTACGGTATTAACTCCGTCGAAACGCAGCATAGACTTGTCGCATCTTTATGATTTAACTACATATGATGAAGGGCTTAAGCTGGAAAAGGATCAGTAGCCTTTGATTAACCTCAACTCCAATCCCCTAACAAATGAGGCATGTCAAGCTGCAATGGGTTCGGTAGCCTTCTTCAGCCATTCCATCTCAGATGTATTCAGGTAAGGAGTAAGAATTTCCCTACATTTTGCATGGTATTCATTTAACCATTCAATCTCTTCAGGAATCAGAAGGCTCACGTCAATTAGTTTCCTCTGGTATGGTGCCTACATTAACAAACAAGATTCTTACCTTCATGACACATAACACTTCCAACCTATAGAATTAGGAAGTAAGTGATAATCCAAGTTTTAAAAAAAATACAAACAGAAAAGGACAGAGAATGTCTTGCTTCCTCTTGGACTGCAAAAGTGCAATCGCACCACACACTTGTACATCTAGAACATCTAGGTAGATGCATATCACGTATGTAAATAGACATAAAACATGGTGTTTACAAACTTACCCAAGTTATATGCTCAAATGATAAGTAGCCCTTATTGCCGAAGTTGAACTTCGTATGGCCCTCCTTGACAATAAGAACATTCTCTATTCTTATACCAAAGTTCCCGTCTTCATAATAACCAGGTTCTGAAAAATATATACCATATGAATGTTCAAACTCTGAAAAGCTGAAACAAGAAAACTATAAAGATGTGCAGAAGCAACTAGAAAGGTAAAACTGTTAGATTATTGAGCAAGCTGGACAACATGATGGTATGACGTGGTTTATCCTAATTTTATTGACAGGCCATTCTCTTACTAGTATAACTAGAAAAACATTACATTTCCCCTGATCATATCAGTTCTGTAAGTTGTAGATCTCCAGTAAGCAAATTCAGGACCGACTATGTTAGGATAGGATATTTACTAATGCACATCCTTCGTAAAGAAGCATGACAAACCCACTAATCCATGTTAGGAGTGAAAATACAGTCAATAACGCAGAGGCATCAATCATGCTAAGGAAAAGTTTACTTTATAACTCGTAATGTAATAAGATGCTACCGACCATCTGTTACAGCCATTGAAACTTGTAGCGGCACATCCCGTGCAGATGGCCTGAAACTAATATTATGAGGTCCTGCCAAAAATAAATTAAATGTAAATATAAATTGCTCCTTAAAAGTACCTCAATAATCATGATGGCAAGTTTACCTTCATGTACATTTAAGTAAGACCCGATCCCGTGTCCAGTACCATGCCTATAGTCAAGACCATCTTTCCACAAAGGAATTCGAGCAAGAATGTCAAGAGCTTGCCCTATCAAGAGTAGTTAAGCACAATGTTCTGATAAGCCAACTATCTTGGGCCACAGCATTTGAATGAAATGAAATGAAAATGGTAAGCATATGCCTCTGAATAATAGCCTGTGGATATAGGCATTGGTACATCTAACCACTGAAGAAAATTCAGAAAATTACAGACATCGAGTATCAAGTTCCACATAATCATACCATTGGTTCCGTTAGGAAACCTGGCGTTTCCCAAAGATATATGTCCTTTAAGAACCTACATAAAATAAAGTAACCTTTAAGCCATTAATGCAGTATTGAATTGTGATACGGAAAGAACAAAAATTTCCAGTATAAGATTCTAAAGAATCAATCACACAGAGCAAAACCAGCATAGAAGACAAACCTATATACATATATATACAAAAAAAAAAACTGTTCGAAGTATAGCCAATCATTATCCTTTCTCAGTCACCCCTAAAAAGATAAACCAGAAAAGAAAACCTAAAGAATAACGAAGGCAATTTACAGAAAAGTTTCGACTTACTGTTGCTTTGTTTACTCATAAGACAATTTCTTTTGCTCTACAATTTTTATGGATTTCAATCAACATTCATAGCAAAGAGAGAATTTCCCACAGGAAAGCATGTGTAATGCATGTATGTTAAGACTTGAATAAGAAGGATTACATGATAGAAGCACTGGAATAAAAGAACTAGAGATCTCTAGGAGAATAATGCCTCCAATAGATTCTCTAATCAAGGCTTAAATGGATTAACGCTTCTAGAATGATCTAAAGGAAGCGTGACCAAGTGTGGAAGGAGACCGGACATAGATAAGATCAGCAATAGTAATCTGAAATCAGAACTCTCATTATGAAATTTCACTCCATCATGCATAGCCGACATGGTTTGGAATCATAAAAATGCAGAACACTTTTCACATACCGCCGTGTAACTAGATTTCTCATGTGGAGAAGGTTTTCCGAAATGAATAGTCCGTGTAATATCAGTTGTTCCATCCAGATACTTCAGCAACACCATCATATATATAGAAAGATCACATGTTAAATATAGAAGTACGCAAAGTAGCAATCCCGAATATATGCTCTCAGTTCTCACATACCTGTGCTCCAGAATCGAATAGGTAAATACAATCTGGATCGAGTTCAGCACATGTTTCTGCCTCAGGTTTATAGTGGATAATGGCTGCATTTGAGCCAACAGAAGAGGTAGTTCGGAAACTTAATCCTCTAAAATGCTGCAGATGTAGAGGAGCAACATTACCCCATTACATTAAGATAATGGTGATACTATTGTTGAGAAAACAAGATTCTTAATGATTTTGCTAACTTCAAGAAAGATCACAACCATCAGAAAAGGAACCAAGCTGCACTTGTTGGAAGAGCTCAAGGCAAAAACTTCTAGTTAATTGAAGCAACTAAACATATTATCCCGAGGTATCTTAAGTACTCCTGAATCCCAATACATGTTATTAACATTTTGATAATACATACTCGTACTTTTTACCTCCTTTTTTTTTTGCCACCCCTTATACTTGTCTATTTTTAAATCACTACACTCACTTGCAATGCGGATACAATAGAAAAATGATATTATTGTTCTTGTACATTTTAAAAAATAAAGATAGAGAAAATATGCCAGCGTGTAACTGGAAAGAGCTCGAGTCGAAATCAGCATATCATGTGGTTCTGGAAACAATAACATAGCAGTTAAACAGAAGCAACAAACTGGAAATAAACTCTAGAGTCATCATCAGCTCACAACCTAGATGACGATAACTCATACATAAATAGAGTGATAAGAGTATAAGACAACAGATTTCATGCTAGAGTTTTCATCAGAATACAACCATTTACCTCCTTTGATGCACGGAACTCCTCCAGCTTATCACTCACAGAGACTTCTGTCAGTCTTTTAGTCCCCCTAACATAGTGAATTATTACAAAAATAAGGTACAAAACATGGACCCACTACTAAGGAAAACAATATAATATATCCCATGCTTCATGATAAGTTCCTCAATAATCACTTAATTATTGACTGAAGATCAGTAACTTGCAGAAGCTTCCTTCAGAAAATCAAGGGCCACTAAAAGTCTTGGCTCTATCTTAAGAAAACAAAGTCTTAAATTTTGAAATCCACACAGCCCACAAGAATAACCTTCTACACAGACTAAATCAAGAAATCACTTCTTGGATAATGCATCTTCCTATCAACAAAAGATGCCAGCTTTAATAGACTAATTCCTTTTTTCTTGGATCCTGAATTGTCGAGGGGGGGACAAAAGTCCTGAACTAACATCCTATAAGAGATCAATTCTTAGAATGTACTTACTCGCCAAAAACATGAAAAAGTACAAGAAACCAGAAATACTTACAGTTGTTTCTTCTGTTTGGTACTCTCAGCCTCCATGAAATAACCAGATGCTCCATATATTTCCTGCATCTGGAAAATTTGAACAAGTTGAAACTCATCTTGCCAAACTACTGAAACCATGAATAGCTTGAATCAAGTGTTTCTGCACCTAAAAAGTGAAGAGATCCCTGCTAAAGATATAAAGTTCACACCATTTGCAAAAAGGCATTGCAAGTAGACATAACATCTTTTTCTGAGAGATACATTATCCTTCTACTCTTCTAGTTTTGCATAGGACAGAATTTCTAACCCGACATATTTGGTTTTATCGGTATATACCAACTTGCACTCGTCACTTGTATAAAGATTAAAAAGAAACCATACACACATATATACATAGACGCACGCGCACACACAAAGTACATACATACACACATGTCTACATACTTATAGAATCTAAGGAAGATGCAAATGCAGTAGGTGGCAGTAACTCACAAAGATTACTAGAAGATTGACTCTAAGAATCTGACGTACCTGCTTATCAAGCCAGACAAGATATTGCACAACAGCTGCCCCATCCCGAAAATGGGCCTTCTTTAATCCTTCTATCTCAACAGGGTTCTAGAAATTATAATTTTGTAGTTTAGCAATCAACAGTAAGCTTGAGAATAGAAGTAGATCACAAACACAGATGATAATTCAAAAGCCAGATAATTTTTTTAGAAATGGCAAGTGTAATAAACTAAACTTACAATCTCCACGCAGTAAATTGTTCTAGTACAACACTCACTTTTTTTATACCAACAAGAAAGAAATTAAGTGAAAGAAAAAATATGGGAGTGAACAGATCATAGCAGACGCGGAAAAGACAGAAGAAGACAAAGACTGATTTGGTTTAATCACATAAACATGAAGAAACTAGTACATTAGACCTATGTTCCTCAGACTCTCCAATATGTTGCTGCTCCCGTGTCAGATTCTCCAATGCACTACTTTTGAAATATCCAACACACACCTATAGACATTTTTGAAGAGTCCGAGCAACATAGTGTTAAGACAGTCTGATAACTTTAGTAATAACTATAGCTGGGAGGAAACATGGAATTGGAAGAAAGTAATTGTATTGATGAAAGACACAGCAGAAGTTGGTGGTTAGCAAAAATATATTAGTTAAAGGTGTCAAATTAGTCGGATAAGAATGACTGTAAGCTCACACCAGAATTTTCATTTTTCAAAAAGAAAATAGTTTAACACCAATTAGACAAATATAACAATAACTGACAAGGAAAATAGAACTGATATACAAGCTTTGGTCAAACAAATGCAACAAAATCAGAGCTGAATTACATCTCAAACACTGACAAAATGAATACTTTCTCTTATCAAAATACGATCACTGATTTGTCATTTCACTCAGGAACTCTTAGAGGAGGTAAGGAGGGGGAGGAATCAGCAGGTCCATATTATACATCAAGACAATATAAACATGATGATTAGTATTTTCACTAAAAATACAACAGGAAATTAGAAATAATCCGGAGAAAGCTGAATTTGAATTCTTAAGGGTCGCAGACGGGACTGATGAGATTAACAATCCTAAACATCCAAGGGTCCTAAGATAGATTCAGTTCAAAATATTGAAAAGCATATAGAGGTAATGCATACTAATGGAACAACAAATGCTGATCAAGCTTGGGCCATCAATTGTCTTCATGTAATTCTTTGCTATTATTTTTCTTCTGATGGAACAATTGATTGACTTGACCCCAATCCAACCAAACAAAGGCGGTCTAAAGACCTACTAGACTTTCAACCACATAAAATGCTCAGACAACAAACTTTAGGGGATAAGTAAGTTTTGTGGTAGTATTATTCACCTTCAGAGCTTTTGCAAGGGCCAAAGGTGATTGCTGAAGGAGAACTTTATCAGCACTCAATTTAGAATACAAAGCGAAGCAACATGCTCCAGGATCAACCCAAATGAGGTCATTTACAAACTCAGCAGCATGACTATCACTATTTCCTACATAAGTGGCATTTCTAACATCAATCTTTGGGTTCCCTTTAGACCCCTTAGTTGAGGAGCAAGAAGTGAGTTGATCAGATGCAAGGAGGACCACATCTGAGCTAACATCACCATAATCCCGCACCATAATTCCATTTTCTTCCATGTAAGAGTTTGCCTGCATGGTATATACATGCTTATTTAATAGTATAAAAAACATAACAAAATGCAATTGTTTTCAGTTTAAAATGAAAAGATTATGCCATTTGGATGCAACCTCAGGAGACAATTTTTGCTTATCCACGTAGAAGAAGGCTGAATCTATAGTCACAATCGCAAATGCATGAACAACTGGGCAATATGATACGTCACTGCCACGGACATTATATAACCATGCAACCTGTACATTGGCAATAATATTGGAGAAATGAAGAATATCCAAGACGAGATTAGCCAAAGCTATAAGATGGAAAGCATTTGGGTCTATGGTTACACATTTACTTCATCAAGCGCTGTTATAATAATAGCACAAGCTTTCCCCATTACAAGCTTTTTCCTCAATTCTTTCAACTTCTCTGCAACAGACTGACCAGCAAATTGCAACGGATGCACAATTACAGGATTTGCTTGGGCAGGTAGCCGATTTTTCCAAACATCATCAACCAAGTTTCTAGTTGTTTGTACCAACTTTTGTTGTTTCTTAGCAAAAGCACACTCCCATTTCTGTGCAGTATCTACTGATACACACCACGTATCCACACCAATGGCCGCATCCTTTGGTAGATTCTAGTAAAGCACATTATAAAATAAATTAGCATACCAGCTGAACTTCAGGCAGGGTCACAAAGTTCACACTCCTCTAGCTTGCAATTCCAGATTAAAATAATTACAGCACCTTGTTGTATAGGATACAGTGACTAGAAGAAAAAACTTGGAAATGAAAGAGTAATTGTTGAAATGATACATCATATGTCAGTAGGGGTGCAGACAAAATACAATAGATCAGGCAATAATATTATCTTCAATTAAATTCAATTTGACATACTAAATTCCTATATTATCATTCGGTTATTGCTGCCAAAGTTATAAGACAAACTATACATCTACTGAAATAACTAAAGAGAAGCGAGAGTGACACTGTAGAAAATAAAGATCTAACAAATATAAGAGATTCAAGCTGAAAATATGATGCATGACAACTGATAAACAAAATGAACTCAAAGACCTTTGCCGATTCCGTATGAATTCTTGCTCTGGAAACATAATGAACAGTCCACAATAAAAGATTGAGATTTCGACTTCAATGCACTCACAGAGTCACAGTTTTAAAATTGAATTGGTGAGATGATCTCAGATTATTTTAAGACAGGAAGGTTGTATTATGGCAAGAAAAGTGAAGGATACAACATGAATGAACTGAAGGGATGTCATTCCAATTTCCAAAAGGAGAATGATGGAATGATCACTTCTATATGGAAGTTTTAATGCACATGTTGACGATAACAGAACCTTCAAGAAGATTAATATATCAACAATAAGATCAAAAGACATTTTCTATTCAAGTACATTAAAGATAATTACACAACTGTACACACAATACTTGGAAGTTCAATTATTTATTTAACATTTTTCTTTTTTCCATATACATCACAGCTGATATACATATAATAAATATAAGTACTGTAGGAACTCTGTAGAACTTCTGTCCAATACTTACTTATATTGATTTACTAATCACTACAAGTCTACAACCAACCAAGTAGGAGTCGATGAGTCTATACAATAGCAGTTCTGATGCAAACTAAGCAACAAGCAAGACAGGGCAAAAAAGTATAGAATATGTTAGTTTCGCACAGCTTATGATTTACATAAATATAGAATAAGCACAAATGGAATATACTAGAACAAAGAGAGGAATAGTCACATTGGCCATCCAGATATCAACGGGAGGATCTTCTCCCATACGCATGAGCTTCCACTGGTCACTGAGCTGCTGAGCTGCTTGTAAGAAATACCTGCCATCGGTCCATAAAAGTGCTTCATCCATGGTTATAAGCGCCAAACCTAGGACGAATTAATTTTTCAGCTGATATTCCACAAACGAAAACAATTAAATCAACACGGAGTGAAGTGATTGAGAAAAAGCAAAAACAAACCAGCACTTCCGGTGAATCCAGAAACAAATGCGCGTCTTTTGTCCCGTGCCGATACATATTCGCTCTGTCATATCATCCAATAACGCAATTGAAAGGCAAGTTCGATGAAATCACAAAAAATTGGAGAAAGAGTGAAGGAACCTGATGATAATCTTCGGAAGGAATAATCAGAGCATGAAGAGAAGGAGAGTGAGAGGACATTAAAGACCTAAGAGCAGCGAGTGTATCCGCCATCGTCTCTTTCGATTAGAGATTGGAGTTTGACTTGTGGTTTTCATCTCTAGTCCATGGCCATGGCACCAACTTCAAGCCAAATAGATACTCTCTTGTACATATTTTATTTCTATTTCTTTGTTATTTTGATAAATAGAAAAAAAATACATATAAAAATAATAAAATTAAAGCAATCAAAATCTCTCTTTGTTGGGTGATTCAGAAAAATTTCGACTTCATAACTCATATTCACCCAATTATTATTTAGATACATACATATATTTTATCAAATACATATAAACTTAACTAGATACAGTGATAAATTAGATAAATATAATACTAACTTAATAGGCCTAACCTAACCTATCAATGGTCACCTAAAGTTGGCTCAAATTTTTTTTACTTAGACACCTTAATTAAGTTTAATTCATTTTAGATAACTCATGTCGTGACTCATCGTGTCAGTTTGATACTCTTTGCTGACATGACATAATGAGTGATATACACGTGAAAAGCTTATTTAACCCATTTTTATTTTATTTTATTCGTTCTTTTCCTCATTTTTTAAGCATCATCTCTCAAAACTTAAACTCCTTCCATAGAAAAGTAAAGTGATGGTATTAATTAGTTAAAACAAAAACAACCAACATTATAATAAATCAAGGTATAATTATTTTGATTTATGAAAAAAATAGTTGAGAAAAACAATTGAAAAAGATTAAACAAAAGATTTTTGCGTTTTAAATGAAGAACTAATCATAAACTTGAAAGGAAGGATTTCACTGAGAAAACTTTGGAATGGGAAAGGAGGGAGCTCGGGTGGTGGGGCTAATGCGGAAGATGGTTTGGATGGGGGAGGATTTTGGTGATCGGGTGATGAGAAAATGGTTGGAAATCAGGCGTAGGGGTGGCGGGGAGAGGTGCTGCAAAAGATGATATATGCTAGGCTTTTTTATTATTATTATTATTTAGGCTTTAAAAAATGACAAATGTCAATTGAGTGATTGCCTTTTTTCAATACAAATTAAAAAATATTTTTGACATATATGTTACACGTCTTTATTTAATTTGTCACTTTGACATGTCATCGTTGAGTGTGTTACACCAAGGCGGTTCAAGCATAGCCTAAAGCAAAAATCAATGAAGCCTTAAACTTGAATTATAATAACTTTTATATAATTGATCTCTTCTAGTTTTCAATTGATAATATAATCATTGTTATTTTAAATTATTTTCATGAGATTATACTACTCCAAGTATGTCAAATTTTTTCTAATATTTCTCTCATTTTTCATGAAAAGTTAACTTTTTCTATAAATAGTATTCAGTATTTGTTAAAAAATAATACTCCCTATAACCTATTATTATTATAAAAAATGAGGTTGTTTTAATTTGGGGGCGTAAGACATATGTCTTTTTTTAATATTGTCAGTCACCCCTGTATTACACACCCTTTACACATTCGGCTGATTGTTAAAAAAATGTCAAAAAGATATAACAGGACATGACATGAGGTGTCTAAAATAAACAAAACCCAATTTAAGTGTTTGAGTGAAATTTATGCCAAGTTTAAATGGTCACCAATGGATTAGGTCAACTCAATAATGTATCGGATACATTAATAATGTATCAAATACATGTGTAAATATCCAATACATGCGCATATTTATTACTATACATATGAAGCCAATTAGATATACTAATAAAAATAGATGGATACATCTCTTTCTCATCTTCTTCTTAGTTAAGATGGAGGTTCATGAGAGTGTGAGAGAATAAATTGATTAACAAGAAAGCTTGAATCGGGGATGATTTAATTGTACAAATAACTAGTTTTAAGGAATATGTGGATCTAATGATATCTTAAATACTTGATATAAAATATTAAAAGTATGTAATACATGTAATTCTCTCTCTCTATATATATATATAATGAAAAAATGAAAGAAATCTCATATTTAAATTTTCTTGTTATCATTATTTCATATTAGTTTTACAAATCCCCAAAATCTCTTATTCATCACATTAATGTATTAGTGCATCAAATTAATATATCATGTATAAGATGTATATCATTTATAAAATATAATGTATCTTACTTAACGATTAATGTATTTCACGCATCAGATTAATGTACCAACGCTTATGCTATTGTATCAGTTTGAGAGATTTATGTAATTATAATCTTACTTTATCCTTTGTCCAAAAAGTATAGCGCAAAGGGCTTTGTCGATCCCATGAATTAAGCCCAAACAATTGCCTTAGTAGGCCCAAAATTTTGATCTCAAGAAAGAGATGGACGACGCTCATTTTTTTATTTTTTTTTATTTTAACGACGCTCATTCTACTGTGATTTTCACTTGTCTTTTTTACCATTTGATCTTCACCCAAAAAGATGAAGTTCTCACCCGGATTGCCCTTATTTCGTGATACTATTTAATTTTTGTTTTTAAATAAGATGATCTTTACTCCCTTTATTTTTTGCCTTTGTTACTTATTTAATGAAAATTTACGAGATAAATTAACTTTCGCTCGACATAACTATAGAAAATGTTTGTCTCGCTAAGAACAAAATTTATGAATAATGATAAAACTTTTTTCTATGTTAATCGATATAAATTCAATTGAAATTAAGCGAAATAATTTGTTGTTATTTTCTTATAGCGTTCTCGAACTATATAGACTCCATATGAATTAAGTAGTAGCTTGGACCACTGAACCATTTTTTTTTTTTCTAATGTAGGACACCTGAAGGACTCAGGTACAACCCCTTTTTTTATAATCTTGTTTTAATTAATAGGTAAGTAACATCTAGATTGTTAAACATACGGACATGGTTATAGTAGATCAACATTCAAACACCTGTACAATTTTATTTTTTTAACAAAAAAAATAAAAATAAAATTACATTGTGAGTGGGTGATCATGTGCTCAAAGCTAGCAAATTTGCTAATTAAAGACTTGAAAGAATTGAAATGACACGTAACTCATTTCTCAACCATGTATGTATTGTACTATATTAAGTTTGATTATATATTATTACTCTTAAAGTACCTATTTATTTAATTGATTGATTTATTAACTATAAAGGATTTTTTAAGCAAAGAATCAAACGGTACGTACACGTAGCCCAATTAGCTGTTTTTGGAGATTTTTGCTTATTAAAATGGTGAATAATCCTACTTTAAGATTGTTTTAAGTCACGACTTAGGAGCTGTATTGGACCCTCAATAAATTACTCAAAAACAGCAAAGAGTAGAGTCGAATTTCAAACGATTAATGCAGGTAAAGTCATACAAGATTATTTACCCCTATGGGAATTACCAATAATACATTTTAAATAATCACCTATATAATTTTTTAGAGTACTACGCATTAATCTCTTCTCTTTTTTTTTGCTCGATTAATAATGATTGAATTATCTTTAAAAAATGTAATACAATGAATATGATTATTTCAATCTCAATAAGATATCTCAAATTTTCGTACGCTAGAATATGAAAAAAATGAAACTATGAAGCATTCCCCTACACAAGAATAACCTTATGTGTTATGTTAATGGCCTATAGTAAAACATTAAATTGAGTGAAGTGGTGTGGTTTAGGGCACTCAAAAGTCATAAAATATAACCCACCTATAAATGGCTAGAAAGTGTCCAAAATTAAGGCGTAAATTAGGGATTGCTGAATTTTAGTGGCATATATAATTAAGTATCCATCTATTCACTTTCATTTACAGGTGTATTATATTTTGAACGATGATCTTAGTTATTTATAATTTTAAAAATTTCTTAAAAGATGGGTAAAAAAGAAAAAAAAAATGAGAGAATAGTGCTTAATTAGGGCAGAGGGAAACATGGAAGGATAATGTAGGTGGCTGGGTGGCATATTACAACCCCCAAATAATAAAAATTGAACATTCTTTAAGAGACCGACACATCCCTATCAAGCCTTACACTTTAAATAATTGTAATAATTATAATAGCTTGTGTAGATCATATCCTAATTAAATACTTTGGTGATTTGAGCTTATAATAATTATATGTTATTAGAAAGGGACAGAATGATTAGTGGGTGTCAACAAATATACATATAAGATTTGTTTGGATTCCCTTTATATTGGAATGTTAAACGAACAATGAGTCATCTATTCAAATCTCTAAAGAGTGAAAAATATTAATAAAAATTTTAAAATAATATATGAAATTTCTTTTTATTCAAAATGGTAAAATCGCTCATGATATAGCGATTTTGTCCATTGTAAAAAGCAAAATCACTTCTCTAAAAGCGATTTGTTAAATTTGACTTTCTTTTATAAAAAAATTAAAATAAAATCGCTTTCAAAAGAGTGATTTTTAAAATAAAAAGAACTTTTAAATATTTTTTTAATATGTCGCTGCTAAGGTAGCATCTTATGTTTAATTTTTTTTTATTTGCTTCTTTTTTTTAATAAAAAAGTATAAATAAAAACAATTTCTTTTGTTTTTTTAAAATCAAATAACTGCTAAGACAGAGATTTTTAATTAAAAATCACTTTGATTTTTTTTAAAAAAATCTTTTTTGATTTAAACTTTTTTTAAAAAACGAAGCAAAAAATTAAAAAATAATATTTAAACTTAAGTCGCTGCATAAGCAGCGACATACTAAAAAGAGTTATAAAAAAGAAATTTATTTTGAAAATCGTTCCGCGATTTTGTATAATGTTTTTTAAAAAAATAAAAATTAACAAATCGCTGCTATAGCAGCAGTTTTGCTTTTTTCGGCGGATAAAATTGCTACTTCGTGAGCGATTTTGTCATTTGATTAAAAAAAGAATTCATATACCGTTTTAAAATTTTTATTAATATTTTTCAACCTTTAAGCTCCGAACTCTTATTCTTATTCGTCAATAGGATTAGACAATATACGTGAAATTGTACAAATTAATTAAAGAGTTAATTTTATATATATTTAAATTATTTAGGGCCACTACTGCATCTTTTAAAAAGTCAGACAATAAGGGTAATAAAAAGTTAGCATAGCTAGTTAAGATAATGGAAATATTTCAAGGCAAATGCCATTATTAAATTATGAGCAAAATTAAGGGGATGATTTAGATTAGTCGAGAACTAAAGTGTTTAAATCCAATCAGTAATTAGTTGGTGCTTAATTAACATCATAATAACAAGTCGAAAAATGAGAAACATGAGCTACACTTGTCGGAAAAAAACATGGCCCAAATTATTAATTATATTAAAAGACTCATAATTAAAGGAATCATCCCACCACCATGTTGAATTTTTTTTACTTATTTTATCAAAAGTTTATTTCTACACATTGACGAAGCTATAAAGAAAAAATATTATTTTTCTTGCTATTTTAAGATAATAAATAAATTCAATATATATTTTTATTTAAGTGTACAAATAAAAATGAACCAACGACGAGTATCCTTTAAACGAATTAGTACTCAATAAACTAGAAGGAAACACCAACACATAAAACCTCTTTTATCTCTCGTTGTGCTTTATGCTTATCCTTTCTTACCATATTTACGTGTGGTTTAATCCTTGGAAAACTATCCTTACTCCAATTGTTTAACTATTCTTGCTTAAGATAACACCAATTAATAATTATAGAATTGTTATGACGTTAATAAGAGTTTAAGATATAACAACACTATATATTATTAAGGGAAAAAATAAAACCTTAAAATTAAAGTGTTGTGACAAAAAAAGCAAAAGAAAAAGAAAAAGAAGATATAGTTAATTCATTTTACACGTCTCCATATATAACGAACAACCTACTATATATCACTAATACTACAATGCTTCTTTCAGAAAAGGAAAACTTCAATCTCCACCTCCAAAATAGTATTTAGACTATACCTATAAATGTATAATGATCAACTGAATTTAGACTATATACACCAATTGCACTGGATTAAATTATAAACGTGCATCATCTGGCCAATGGTTCCACACATGAAAGCTCCTTTACAAAAAGTAAGAACTATTGAGATCAAACACACGAGCACTACATTATTTCAGTTCATGAATATCCTAACCACCATGTGGCTACGCCACTGCATCTAATTGTGAGTTCTGAATTTCATACTAAAATTTATGTATAATTAAAATGTTTTAAACATAAATATAATTTTTTTTTTATATAAATAAATATCATTCTATAATTTGTACTAGATTAAGTTTGACCAAATTCGTATAAAGGGGTGGAAGTATTATGGAAAAAGATGGGAACAAGTGGGAATCGAATCATATTAGTTGAATATTTGGTCACATGCATGCAGGTAGTACAAATTTTGATTTTGGACAAACAAAACCAATACTATGGCAGCAGCATCTGTTGTTTTGTTCATGGAAAGTGTTTTGTACTTAAAATTATTTAAGTAGATAATTACTTCTTTTATTTTTATTTAGGAATGCAAATCTTATAGGTTATTTTTTAAAAAAAGAAAGAAATTATCTATAAATATCATTTGGAGCGCCAGCTGGTAAAAGCGGATAATAATGATTAGGCACATAAGTAGCTAGAATTCAATTCCCAATGTTCCCACGTGAGCGAAATATTTTACTTATGCACCTAACTAATTTCTCTTTTTAGTACTCATTTCGTGTTAGGTGTTATTTGTCATGATTTTTATTTTTAGAGTTAAATAATAAAAATTTTGATTAGTATTTTAAGATGTATATTTTGCTCTCTATTATTTGAATTTTTAAATTTCTTTCTTTTGCCAAACACATTTATGTCAGAAGTTTGGCCATAAATATTAAATATTTTTATTTTTAATTAGAATATATAAAAGTAGTGGCAGAATTAAAATTTTCATAAAGAGTGTTCAAGTGTTAAAGTGAATTTGCTCTTCTTACAAAGAGAGTTGCTACTAGTAAAATTGACACACAAAGAATTTAAATTTGCGTATTTTTACTCTTTCATGCGCCTGAAATTATTAGGCTATATCATATTATTGTGTCAATGATGTCCAACATATATTATTTAACCACTTAATTTATCATTTTACTCGTATATAATATTCTGACGAAGAAGTGTGACCACACCACTGTATCAAGGTGGAGTACTTGTATTTAATTATAATTTTTTAAAAGGAGAAAATAGAGTACTTTATATTAAATTATTTAACCAAATACTAATTTCAAAACTAAGTGAAAACGTATCCTGAGTATACGGGTGCTATCATTTCTTTCGTAAAAAATGGTGTAGTGTATAATGTACTTTTTTGGGTGAAAAAATATATATAACGTAACTTTCATATTAGCGGGTATATTATTTCTCTTGTGTAACTTTTTATTTGAAGCCAGTTATTAGTTATTACCCCAACACTTATTTATTTAATGACTTTCTCGTATCCCCATCCTCAATCAAAATGGTTTTTATTGTGGCATTTAAATTTAATCGAGATTTCAATTTAAATATTAAGTGAAACTAAAGAAAAAATAAAAATTAGACTACTTGTAGATTGTGTTGAATTATGTAAACGTACTCTCATCTAAGAATTTAAATACTCACAATCATTTACCTAATAATTATATCTTCAACATAATTTCAATGTTTTAACTTTGATTTTTTGTTTTTTGGTTGAGTTTTGTCCGAATAATTTGATGCAAACCCCCCAACAAAAAACAATTGAGGGTTGGGGGGAGGGGTAGGGGGGTACTTGAAGATATTAATTAAGAGGGTGATTATAATACGTCAGACACAACAGACACAACGATAAGTAATAATCAAACACTTTAAAATAAAAATCCAAGTTATATTCCATCTTGCAACTTGCTAGCTAGCTAGTCAAATACTAGTAACTCTAATTACCACACTAGTCTAGAAAAAAAGCAAGGAAAAAAAAAGATATATTTACATAATTTAGTACGTTATATAGTGGGGTTACTTATCTACAAATAGAATTATGGGATCCTAAAATTAGAAATTAATCACATGATGATGTTTATAATTATTTATATCAAATATATAAGTTCACCCAATCTAATCCTTGAACATAATTATTCTCTTGTGCATAAAACACATTGTCCAATCCATCCATTCCAAATTCCCCTAGAAATGGTGCTTCCATTGAGAAAGATGAAGCACTTGGACTTGTGTAATTACTCGATACCCCATCACATCGTTCTAATAATAGCCTTTGTATCTCCTTCTCTGATTCATTCAATTGTTCTTTCAACTTCAACACCTATAAAAAAAAAAATAATATACGCATTTTAATTTCAAATAAATTAAAATTGACTATATAAATATTTATGTATCGATGATAAGTATGATATTCGATACAAAAATGTGGAAGAAGCACGTGAGAAAGAAAGGCATGTGATGCCACCACCCACCAAAAAGGTACGAGGGGATTAACTTGGACATCTAAAAAAAAAAACGACAAGAGCGTACGGAGGTTTGTTAAGTGGAGGGTGTAGTTCCCTTTGCTGCCTATAAGGGTGACACTATTATTATTACGATTATTTTTATCTTTTTACGCTTTTTAGATAGATAGAGCGTCTACAGATTTTTTATTAAAATAAAATTACTTAACAAGAATAAATACAAGTGCGAAACATTATGTTTTACCTTAGTAATCCCAATCTGTTTGTTCACTTAGATCCATTATCGAGCTGTCTAGGGTTCATATTGCATGTCTAAATATGACGATTATTTCTAGTTTAAAGCTGATGTATATCTTCTTAACTTCGATAATTAGTATAAATATTTTTAACATTTTCAATATAGTTTAACCAGGTGTGAATTAGCAGGATATATAGTTTGGTTATTTTTACTGGTAGTATTAAAATATCCTCACAAATAAGGTCATATATGTAGAAGCAAAAGTTTTACAGCGTGATTAAATATATAATTTGGTCATTTTTTTATTTATCAACCTGTACATTAGAATTTAAGGCTTTAAAATTTCATAATTACAAATTCTATTCTTGCTTTCCCCTTTTAATTAAACAACTCATCTTGAAAATATTTTTAAGAGTTAGGACCACTTCAAACGTCGTTTATGCTGCCAGTTTTCACTGACAAATCCCCAAAATTACCCTACCACTAACTACTGCCTCGTTAAACCAAAGTATTTTCTAACTTGTTCATTTTATTAAATCAGGAGAATCGAGGTTAAGTAATATGAAACGAAAAAAGTAGATAGAAAACGAACCTCAGTTTCCAGACGACACTTCTCAACAACATTATTGTCATGTTCAGATTTCAACTTTGAATATTCCTCCTCTAGCTTCTTGCTCTTCCAACGAGCCCTCCTGTTTTGGAACCACACCGCAACTTGTCTAGGGTCGAGCCCTAGCTCAGCGGCTAGCTTGTCCTTTCTCTCTGACTCTAGTTTGTGCTCGTCCCCAAAACTTTGCTCAAGTAAATTAACTTGTTCTTCACTTAACTTCCTCTTCCTCATCATCATCATTTGATCATTCCCACTCCCTTCTCCTAATTTGTTCTTCTTACGTCTTCTCCGCGGCTTTGACTCTCCTGCATGTTATTACACCCTTAGTCAGAGATCTCAATGTCTACATAAATCTACTAAATATGAATAATTAGTCAGACCAGTAAATTTTGAAGCTAGAAAAGACAAAGAGTTATGGTAAATTATAGTACTAACCTTGTTGTGGTACAAGTTGGGTGTAAATATCAGGATAGTACTGGGAAATAAGTACCATATTATCATCTTCTATAACCTGATGGTTCATGGTGTTTATATTTTTATTTATTTTTTGTGGTGTAAAAGTGAAATGGAGAAGACTTTTATTTATTTATTTTGAAGGGAAAAAAAAATTATATAGATGGAGTGAAGACTAAGGTGCTGTTGCCTTAAGTCTTTGTTGAGTAACTAGTGTGACCTTATTTATAATGCTCGACCTTTTGAAATTGACCTTGCTTATATGTAAAATTATCTATATTGCCACTTGTCAATGATTTTGGGGGTACAATGTTTTTAGTGTGAGCTAAGTTGATAAAATTTGTTAAATTAAGAAATTGGACGGTGACATGCACGGCATGCCATTATTTCTGTCTGATTTGGCCAGACGTGACTTAGTCAATAAGGTAATATAAGCAAAATGCAGCTAATTAACTAGCTAGTAGTTAGCAATTTGAACACCGAGATAAGATGTTTCTATTTTTAATAATGTTTCGCGAATTTAAGTTTCGAGCAAAGAGATTCATATTGATTATGTTTCTCTTTTTTAATGAATTTTGTTTGTACGACACAAACTCAAATTAATCAGAAATTCATATCTAAACGTATATAGAGGCATTGACGTGAAACAAAAGAATTAAAATAATTAGCGTTGGTCTTAAACGTATTGTTATATTGGGGGCTTTCACATCTATGATGAACGCTCACTCACCAATTTAAGTCATTAAATAAAATAGCAAGAATGTGGGACCTTTTTAGGACTAATAAGACGATAAGGATCAATAGAATTATATAGATATTTCTTGATTTATAATCATGAGATGAGGCATGTTAATATAGGGGGAAAAACAGCTAGGTATTCATCATTATTTTAGTCTCTTCTCCACAACAACCTCTTGATTACGATGGTTTTTGAACTATTATATATATTACTGTCACACGCATCAACCATTTATATACCGTCATTCACGTACTATTCCTCCCCACTAAAAAAAGCTATTGAGAATTTTGAGAACCTAAACAACCCAAGCGACTGGTTATCTATTTTGTTTCTACATGGGTTATTATTATTAATTTAAATCTTGATTAATCTGTATTCGACTCTCACAAATTTAGGAAAAAAGTATTCTGTATGAAAAGTGAATTCACACCTAAGCTTCATAATCTTTGATGATGACTGTATAAAGTTTACATAAATGTTCAGGATAGGGGGCACAAATCAATACGTGTCATTTGAAACTCTAATTCATCGTATATAAATTAATGCCACACAGTTACATAGCCTTGTCAATTTCAAACACTCATAATTTTAACTTTAACACATGCGTATATAATTTTACATGATCAAATGATCTTTTAAAAAATAAATAATAATTAGAGTAATCTGTAATAGAGAAACAAATTTCAAAAATTGAGACACATAACCAAATTATAAGCAGTATATAGATATATGTTGAATAATACGTATCAAAATGAACTCAATTAATAACCGAATATGTTTAACGTATAGATATATGTCACTATAAGTAAGATCCATATCGAATTGGTTAGAGGAGAGAAGCGTAAATTTGGAAATACAAATTAAAGATCAAATTAGAATAATACATGTGGGATCACTGTTTAAGCCAATAGTCTAAGGGGTAATGTGGCAGTCAATGGTACATAAATTAATCAATTTTTCTAATATTAAGGCTATAATATCGCTGTAACAAAAATGACTATTAACGATATTTAATTTTTAATTATTGTTAAATATAAATTTTTAGTAATAATTATCACTTTTTGTATATGTCTCTAAAGATAGCGATATTAATTTTAATGGCACTTAATTAATGTTGATAAAGACTTTAGCAATTTTTATTAATATTAATATTTAATGACGTTAAAAATTATTTTTGTTCGTAGTGTATATATATATTTTTATAGATAAAGTGATGAAAGAAGGCTAGTTAATATAGGGGAGGAATGGTTGTATTTGGCTTTCCTGATTGGGTAAATTAGAAAAAGAATAAGGTAAATTAACACTATCCGTATGAAGTTTTAAAAAATCAAATACTGTAACGTAAGGTGGTTGTAGTTTTTTGGGTTTTGGGATCGTACCACCTCGAAAAAAAAATATAAAATTAGTATGGGTAGGTTTCTCTAGATTTTGGAGTAATTAACTAGGTCGGTATTGTTATCCAATTAGGTGGTAATTAATATTTTTTAAACAAAATTATAATTAATTACCTATCCTAGCCAAGCCGCACCAAAAGTTTTACTAACTCACTTTAAATTAGCTAATTAGATGCGTGGCTCGAGATGATTAAGAACAGTGAATATAATCAACGTTCTGATTGGGTCATTCCAATGATAACAGCTCATGAGACACCCAACATCTTATCTAAGCCGTTACATCATTCTCTAATTCTTTTATAATAAAGTATTAAAAATTGAGTAAAATAAAAACTTGGATTATTGCAAAAATGGGTCCAACTTCTTTCCTATAATCACTGATTAAAGACAAATAAAATTTTGTAGCTAAACAATATAACTTTTACGTATAAAATAGTGACGGATCGTACGAAAAATTAAATTAGCTAGGAGTGAAGAAATTACCAACAAATTTCATAAATAATTTCGTATTTTCTTCGTAACGAATGAGCATCATTTGGTTTACTTGATAAAATAGAATTTTGTGTAGCTCAAGTTTAAGTTTTCCCAAAAGTGAAATTCCCCTTCCACCTTGACAAAATTTTGTATGTGTATGTAGATACGATAAAAAAAAATTTAGACAAGTGAAGTAAAGTGTTTTAGAAAGCATAAAGTTGTAGCAATATCAGTCATCTTGTACGTTGATTTTCATACATATATATAATACAGGGGGAGTGTACGTAGGTGGATAACACAAATATGGGGTCCTGCGTCAAACATGAACGAAAGCTAGTGTCTAGCTAGTTTCTTTTTTCTTTTTTTAATTTAAGTGAACGTATATTTATCGTGTACTTTGACTATTTATCAAATAATTACTTAATATTTTCTGTCAAAACATGTATTTGGCTAATTTTTTAATTAAAATTTAAGCAATAAAATTAATGGTCCACTTGAAACAAAAACTTAAAACTTTGTAATTTTTCTTCCTTTTACTAAAGAGGAAAAACATATACGATCTTCATATCGTCTACTAATACGTATTCAAAGTGATCGTGTGATAGATAGAAGTGTATAAATGAACGTCTTTGCATGTTTTTTTCTTCATAAGAGTCAGAGAAGGACACAAGTCAGAGATAAGATGGACAAACCTTTTTGGTACGTATATTAGTTCAGTTATATGGACGACCACAAAAGTAAAAAGAGGATCATTGCAACAAATTAGGAGCTGGAGCCCCAACATGATAAATTGATTGGATTGGTGTCTTAAAAAAGTGGTTATATTACGTGTAACCATTAACCACCACCTGACTAGCTATTCATCTTTTTCTAAAAAAAAATATACGATATTTAATTTCAACTCAATCTCAAAAATTAATTTTAAAAAAATAGAAAAAAGAGTCTGATATATCCCTCAATTTTGTTATTTAGAGCTGATATACTCCTCGTTATAAAAGTGGCTCATATATACCCCTACTCATAGACAAATGGCTCCTATATATCCTTTTCCTCTAACGGAAATGAAAAAAATAATAATTTTAATCTAAATTTTTATTATTTTTTGGTATAAAATATAATCCCATATGAGTAAATTTAATCCTCATCAAACATATTTTTTTGACTTTTTTTTATTTCAATAACTAATTTATAATTATTATTTTGATAATCAAATTTATTTATATTTCACTAATATTTTTTTTTTGAATACGAAATCAAATTACAATACACAAAAAAAAAATTAAATTTTTTTTCTTTAAACTAAGGAATGAAAGAAAAAAACAAAATAAGAATAAGAAACTCAAATAATTATAATAAAAGAAGTCAAAAAATAATTTATGTATGAAAAAATTAAAATATACCTTGAACTTTGATAGAAGAATCATATATACGCCTAAATAATTTTTTCAAAAAATTTAGAAGTAATAAATATAAATTTAAAACTAATTTTTTTAACTTCCGTTAAATGAAGGGCATATGTGAGCCATTTTGTAACGGTATGGGTATATGTGAGGCGTTTGTGTAATGACATATATGAGCCACTTTTATAAGGAAGGATATATAAGCTTCAAATGACAAAATTGGGGAATATATCAAATTCTTTTCCCAAAAAAATATCTAATAATATAAATATAAATTATTTATCAAAACTTTTAATGAATATGAGACTTTCGTTCATTCTAACATACACATATTATACATTCTCCTGTTATTTTGGTTAGCAAATGAAGGTAAGTAGAGAGAAGAAGACAACTCCAGAGAGCAAGGAATGTCACATGGGAGCAACGTACGAGTATTAACACGCGTCACTCCCCTGATGAATTATTCGGGACCACAATGTCCTTTATCCATCCACGTGTTGTCTTTCTAGTACATTTCCCTCAACCTAATCTGCCATTTACCAGCCTATCACCACGCACTCCCATACTAATTAATACTACTTACCTTTAATTACCACTATTATTATACTAATGTTTTTTACGATATTGCCCCTTAGATCATACGATAAGTATAGTGTATACTAGAAAGAAGAGATGGCATAAGCATCTTTCTTATAAAGTTGATTGAGTACAACATTATTATTATTTTAATGATAATGTGACAAAGAAACTAAGATATATGGAAAAGTGTGTGTTTCCTATAATAGAAATAATATACTTTGGGTCCTTCTATATAGGCATGTGAAGGAATGTTAAATATGAAATTATGAATCCCCCATTTGCTTGTATACCCTTATAGATATTGGTCCGGATTCACTTCATCATTATACATTTATAGGTCTCATCAATTGGCAATTGTACTAACAGGAAGCCTGCACTTTTCCCATTTTATTAAACGAATATAATACACGTGGCTAAACCTAAATGGTCGTCACTCCTGTTCTAATTTCAATATATCACTTGTTTGAACAGTAAAAATTCAACGATAAAAAACGAACGGAGAAAGATGTACTTATTCGATTGAATAATAAGTTTTATTTATAATATATGCAAAATTAATTTATATGGGCTTATGTACTAGCAGTCGTGAATAGCTTTTGTTAAGTGATCAAATAGGAAGTTAA